AAAGAGCCATGTTTACAACATAGTTTAAGTCTAAAAAGGTATCCCCAAAATAGTTACAAAACAGCATTCATCTTGGTGGCTGTGAAGATGATGCCCCATTGGTTGTTCCAAAGATAGAGCCTTTGCTTACTGGTTGAGATAATGATCTTCCAAAGCCTTTCATTCTCCCTCTCCCTCTACCACCCCTAGTTGATGCAACCTAGAAGCAAACATTGAGGTTATTGAAATGACATAAGAAAATGTGAGTATGAAACCATGAGGAACTATGACTTACAAGTTGGGCCATTTGATTTGGTCCAATTGGTGCACTCCCTTGGATATTTGGAGGTAATGCATCAGGTTGAGGTTGAAGTTGAGATGATGATCTTCCTAAGCCTCTCATTCTCCCTCTACTTGTACCACCCTTGGTTGCTGCCACCTACAAGCAAATGATCACATATGTGATTGATGTTATACAAATGACATAAGAACATGTGAATATCAAACCATCTTCAAATATCACTTACATGTTGGGCCACTAGATTTGGTCCAATTAATGCCCTTCCTTGGATATTTGCAGAAAAGGCTGCTTGGGCATAGCCTGAAGCTTGAGCTTGGGATTGGGCTTGGGCTTGGGATTGGCCTTGGGCTTGAGCTTGGGATTGGTCTTGGGCTTGAGCTTGGGATGATGATCTTCCTAAGCCTCTCATTCTCGTTCTACCTCTATCACCCTTGGTTGCTGCCACCTACAAGCAAATGTTCACATATGTGATTGATGTCATACAAATGACATAAGAACATGTGAATATCAAACCATCTTCAAACTACACTTACATGTTGGGCCACTAGATTTGGTCCAATTACTGCCCTTGCTTGGATATTTGCAGAAAAGGCTTCAGTTTGGCCTTGGGCTTGAGCTTGGGATTGGGCTTGGGCTTGGGGAGCATGAGTTTGGGCTTGGGGAGCTGGAGCCTGGGCTTGGGGAGCTGGAGCTTGGCCTTCTTCAGCTTGCATCTGGAATCATTAAAAAATTAGATTAGGTTAGGTTATAGGTGATAACACGAAGGCAAGGAATCTGAATGCAGCTTTTACCTGTTGGACCCTTTCACATCCTTTTTTATTGTGTCCTTCTTGACCACATCTTGTGCACCGAATCTTGATAAAGATTCGTCTGAGCCTTGCAGGTTGTGGTTTCCAGCTGCGTGGTTTTGGATTTGGAGGTACTGGAGCTGGTATTTCCACCTCCCCTGGTTCTTTTGTCCTCACCTTCCTTGGCCTTCCAGGTTAGATTCTGAAGTTGGGAGGCTTAATAGCTGGTAAACCACTCTGTGGCCATTGGTCAATGGAAGGAACAGGTCCAATGATAGGACCATATATTTTTAAGTAAGCATCTTTCTTGTACAATTTATCCACATAATCCTCTATGTCTTCATTTCTATGGAAAATAGCAGAAATTGCATGTGGGCAAGGAATCCCACATAAGTCCCATCTTCTACAAGAGCAAGTCTTTGCTCTTAGATCGACAGCAAATTCTCCCCCATACGCTGAGTTACTTGATATTTCTTCTCCCCAGCCAACCTTGGTATGCATTGACTTAATGCCAACTTATTTTTCTCTATTATGTTGAAGATTCTAGGACCAACAGTATACCTCCAATGTTGACAAGAAGCCCTTCTATTAGCCATCCTAATCATAATATACATCCTTATTCTATCAAGGCATGTTAGGATTGGCTTATCCATTGCATCAATAATGGCTGCATTGAAGCTTTCACATAGGTTATTTAACAACAAATCACACTTATAGTGTGTTGCAAAATGAGATCTTGACCAATTTTTTGCAGGCCTCTCAATTAGCCACCCCCAAGCATTTGCATCCTCCCTTTTCAGATTATCCATCTCTGCTTCCCACCAAGGCAATATGGTTGCCCTTGCAACAGCCCATAGCAAATGTTTTAGAGCAAGTCCTATGTGCTGGCCTCTGAAGTTGTTATACAAATGTCTCACGCACATTCTGTGTTCAGTATTTGGTAAAACTGTTTGCATAGCAGGAATTAGCCCCTTCTGTTTATCACTTATAAACACCCATGCCAAACCATTTTGGATCCCCAAGTCTGCAATTAAGAGTTCTAGAAACCATATCCAACTTGCCTTGCTTTCTATTTCAACTACAGCATAGGCCAATGGGAACATACCATTGTTCCCATCAACACCAACTGCAGTTAAGATCTGCCCTGAGCAGGGTCCTTTTAAGTGGCACCCATCAACACCTACGACAGGCCTACACCCTTCTAAGAAACCCTTTTTAGAACCAGCTAAACAAATATAAATTCGTTCAAACAATGCATCATCACCTGCTAGTTCAGTTTTAATTACCACAGTACTTCCAGGGTTGGTCTTCTTAATTTGCTCTGCATAATCCCTTAATCTCTCGAATTGTTCCTTGTACGAATCTTTAATGACCTTCTTAGCCAATTTTTTTGCCCTATACACTTGGTTCTGTGTAACATTCATTGCATAGTGTTCCCTCACCTCATCTTGAAGTTGCCCCACAGTCCAATTAGGATTTCTTCTCATCTTATCACAAAATCTTTCTGAAATCCATGTTGAATTAGCATATCTCAACCTGTCTACTCTGCCACATGTATGATCAACATGTATAGCCTTTACTACAAAAGTGGATTTGACAGGACCCGCCCCAGAATTTCCCCTGAACCCGAGG